ACTCATCACACACAGTGTGCCCTCAATGACCTTCGTGTAACTCATCATACACAGGTGTGGCATGGGTCGAGCCAGGCAGTGAGTCCTAAGTAAAAAGAAAACTAACCACAGAGTCAAAAAAAAAAAAAGAAAAGAAAAAAAATCAGGATGGGAAGCCACCGTATGGGGGGAATGTCCCTTTAATAAGGTACTAACGGGCTGGAGAGATGGTTCAAAGCTTAAGAGAACTGCTGCTTTTCCACAAGACCCAGGTTCGATTCCCAGTAGATCACAACTATCTGTAACTCTAGCTCTGGGGGACCTAGTGCTCTCTTCTGGCCTCCAAGGTCATCAAGCACATACAAGGTACACAGACATACATGGCACAAAGCACCCCCCATATAAAATAAATAAGTATTTTTAATGAATTAAAGCTTACTCAATCCATGTTCCCACAGTAAGAGATGATGTCACCCTCCCCTTGCTGACCAGCATGCTTTCTCAGGACTGAAAGCTGAACAGCACTTTAAAAAGCTACAGCATGTTTGTCTCTCTGTACAGTAGGAAGCAGAGAGTTCCCTAGATTTAAACTACTCTGGCAGGAAAAAAATTAACCTAATAAATGCAGTCGGGAGTACAAAAAGAGTGCTCAAAACATTATATACCCCAAGGCTAGGGAGAAAACTCAGTCAGTAAAATGTTTCCATTGCAAGCAGGAGGAGCTAAATTCAATACCTAGCAACCATAACACAAAAAAGCCAGGCCTGATGGCACCTAACTAGCACCTTTGACCTCCACAGGCTAAACACACACACACATGTACACACATATATACACACAAACACACAGCATGCTCAGACACACACACAAAGGCACTGCAAAACCTAGGTATATGGGGCTGGGGAGATGGCTCAAAGGTTAAGAACACTTGTTGCTCTTGCAGAAGACCTGGGTTCAATTTCCAGCAGCCACATGGTGGTTCACAACTGTCTGTGACTCCTGTTCCCAGGGCATACTTTCTTTTGACTTGACCTAAGCACCAGGTATGCAAGTACTACATATACATATGTACAAGTAAAACAAGTATACGCATAAACATATATGCATACATGTGTGTGTTTAAAAATCATAAGTATATACACTAATATCTTAAATCCACATCCTGCTATCCAAACCATTTCTTCACTAGAGTCTATATTAAAAATGTGGAAAAAAACTTACTTCTACTACTACTTTTTTATTTAATTCCAATAACAAGATCATTCAAGAAAAAGATCTTTAAACAGTTACAGACATGAAGTCAAGTGCTTCTAAATAATAAGAATTTTATAACATTTTATTTCATAAAAAAAGAATTATTACTTTGTTAGCTTTCTTAGAGTAACAAAGTGAGTTCTGGATTTACTACATGGGGGAAAACCCTTTATACATTCAAAGAAGTATAACATTATTCATAGCAGACTCTTAGAAGCTGCTTTTGCTAAATAAAATGCACTGCCTCTTCCCTGGGCCCCACGAGATAACTAAAAGCACAATGTAGGCCAGGATGCTCTGCCTTCATTGTTCATCTGTCTCCTTGGGCATTCCATAAAACACCAGGCTTTTAAAGATGGGTCTGTGTCATCATCCTTAACTTCCAGTCACCTCAGGTTTTAGTGACAACAGGACCTGAGGGGACTGAAAGTGCCTCAGAGCAAAAGCTTAAGACAGATCACCACATGTACTGAGGGCAGTTACGACCCTGAGCCACCCTGAGCCAGTGATCATCTTCAAGGAACCAGGTTAGTGGCCTGAGCAATGGCAGGGATAACTTCTCACTGGACCAACCTGCAGGATGAGATCTGAGACAGTGATCTAAAGGACCACACCTTGACCAGGACTGCCTATGCATCCCTACTGTCCTGTGCCAAGTCTTCCTCTATTTAAAACTGAAGCTCATGGCAGTAATCTGAAGATGAACTCTGGGCATCCAATCCTCTCCAAATTGACAAAATCTCCTTTCTCTGCTTTCACCACTTTTTCTTTGGCCATGGGAGCTGAGATTTCTGCCCTAAAACTCAGGTGGCCAATTGTTCAATCCCAGCCCTTGGGAGGCAGAGGCAGGCAGATTTCTGAGTACAGGATCAGGCTGGTCTAGATAGCAGGTTCCAGGACTTTGCTTTGCTATGAACAGACTGACTTTAGATGAATTTATTTCATATTAGAACATAACAGAGGAAGGTACTGAAACAAGACAGCAATGGATCTTACTCATCAGCTCACTAAGTAAGACAACCATTCATCCCTCCTTTAAATCAGCATGCATTTGATGTTTTAAAAGCAGGCATAAATGTCCAAAGGGAAATGAGGATTCATCACATATAATTAAGCATTCAACTTGTCAATCTGTGCACAGGCAGCCATTTACCAAGCCTGTGATTCCAGAGGCCAAACAGCCGTTTGTAATATCTAAGCTTACAGACCCATGTAAGGGAACCCAGCACACAGAAATCTATACACATCCAAGGCTGTTAATCACAAATGTGTCCAGAAAGACAAGTGTTTACATCTGCAAGGTCCTCAGGCTTTCTAAGTGGAAACTCAAGTAATTAGTGTCATTTGCCTGACTTGGTTTATGAATACATAAAGACACACTGAGTGAGATGTGGTGGCCCATGCCTGTCATGTCTTCACCTGAGAGGGGAAGGCAGCGGAAGTCAAGAGCTGAGGGGGTGTGGGAGGAGTTGGATGGGGGGAAGGGGGGAGGAAATGCTGTCAATACAGTACACTCACATATGAAATTCTCAAAAATCTACCATAATTCTAACTTCAGCCTCATTGCTGTCTACTGTGAATTATCATTACTATCACTTAAAAGACAGAGGTAAGAGCCCAAATGCAGTGGAGGAAATGCACATGACCCCTAAGAACGAGCCCAACAAAACTTTAATGTAATGCACTGCTTTTCCTTTTAATATGTGTTTGGTGCGATTGGTAAAAGGAGGAAAAGGGGTGGGGAGTGTTAGCTCAGGATTGCCTCAGCTAGCCTATGCTATGTGAGACCCCATTTCAAAAGACTAAAAACCAAACTAAACAAATTAGAATAGGTACTAGCAGAAAAACACATGTGAATGTATTATTTTAGTTATTATAAGTTAACTTAAGAGTGATTCCTGCATGCATTTGACTGTGGCCACCGTGAATTAAAACTTACAAAATGCCAGGCGTTAATCCCAGCACTCAGGAGACAGAGGCAAGTACATGTCTATGAGTTTGAGGTCTAACTGGTCTACACAATGAGTTCCAGGACAGCCAGGGCTACCCAGAGAGAACCTGTCTCAAAACAAACAAACAACAAACAAGACTTACAGGCTTAGGTCTATGTTCAGCCTCACGTGTCTCCAGCAGTGTCTGCTGGGTAGGCTACAGTGAATGCTGGTACTCACCAATACAAAGAAGTATGCAGTTAGTCCTGCGCAATGGTGAATTATAAAAAATTTGTCACCAATCACTTTCCAATTAAGAAGTATAATCAATAAATCTGCAAGGAAGAAAAAGGAGATGTCACATTGGAAAAAAAAAAGCTGCTTGGTTGCCTAAGTGTACTTACCTCGCTGTCTGTTAACTCTGGCTGTCTGTCTGTCTGACATCACAGCACTTTGTACATCCCTGACTCCGCTCACTTTTGAACAAAGTATCTGTTCCTGTTTATCTGCCTCACCCCCCACCCCCGCACACACACACACTGTGGCCACTCCAGAATGTCAAGCTAGGTTGACATCTCTCAGAATGTCATCTCAGAATGTCAGAAGTTTCATCTCTCAGACTGTGGGGTGGGGGTGGGGAGCGAAGGCCAACACCTGGCAATACTAACAGCTGCCTAAAAGTACTGGCAAATAACTTGTTTCCGGAGTTAAACAAAATGAAAAAACCATGATCAATCAAAAATAACCTGAATGCAAGTTTTTTTGATTTTTAGCCTTACATCAAGGCAAGCAGGAAAGGTATCAATAAAAGATACAATTATCATGTCTTCTATAATACTGTTCTTGTTTTTGTTTTTTTGAGAAAGAGCTTCCAATTTGCTATGTAGCCAAGGTTCACCTGTAGCTCCTTACCTTCCTTTTTCAATGCTGGGATATAGACATATACTACCTTACCGCCCACAGAGAGGGAAATACACACGCACGCACGCACGCACGCACGCACGCACGCACGCACGCACACTAATTATACTAATAGGTTCTTTAGAAAAGACACAGACCATTGCTTTTCTTTCCTTCTTTTCTTTTTTTCTTTTTTTGGATTTAGGCCTCAGTTGTTTGAGGTCTCCGTCTACGAATATGTCCTTTCTTAAAGTTTCAGGCTCTGCCATCATCGATCATTTTATTTTCCCTGCACAGACCTTTAAAGCTGTTTTTCAAATAAGTCAAAAACATAAACAGCATATTCTTTGTATCATTCCCTGGGTAGTTTAAAAAGTAATAAGCAGTGAACAATCTCAGCACATACCAGAGATGAGGTAGCCTGAAGCAGTCGCAATGTTTATGTTCACGTAGGTTGGATCACCCCTATACACATTTAAAACAAAACAAAACACCACGTTATCCTCCTAAACATAGGGGCCATTTTCTTTCATCTGGCTTATTGAGCCAAGGCTTCATGTGGTCCAGGCTGGCCTCAAACTTGCTGGGGCCGCCTTGTTCCTCCTTCCCTCCCCCTGCTAGGATCACAGGATGCACCAGCACACCAGACACAGGACAAATTGTTTTGGTCAGAAGACCTGTTGCCAACACTTCCCATGAAGTTTACTCTAAGCCCAAGCCAGCCTCCAGAATCTTCCTAAGGACTAATCGTTGATTCTTGGCATTTAAACTAGGCTGAACTCTTCTAAGAAACCACCTAACGCCAATCCATACTGGGGTTTTCAGAGTCAAAAACAGGCTGCCTAAGGATGACCAAGAGCAGCCCATGTATTTTCTGGAGTGCTTTAACTATTCCCAGAAGCATCCAAATCCATGGGTGTTAACACAGGGTTTGTCTCTGTTTTAAATGAGGAAGCAGTATCTACCAGTTTAAATGCACTTGGAGGACGCCTAAGGGCCCACTGGCCTATGTGGGGAGTGGGTCACTATCAGTTCTGGGCTCTGTTCTAAACCTGTCTGAGCACAGTGCTAGCTAAGATAATACTTCTGACTGCCCAAAAAAGCATAATGTTTATGCGCACACACACATACATACATACACACACACACATGATTTTAAACTGTACAAAAATGTAACTTTACAAAAAGACTTGTGTCTTCAAGTGATTTGTTGAAATGCCTTACTTAGAAGCAGGGACTCAGTTAAATGAAGAAATCATCTATCTTCCCTCTAATTTTGAGGCAATACTGTCCTATCAATATAATTCTACTGAGGATTAGAGGGACTTACCTAGTACCCAAGAATATAGTCAGAACTAACAATGTGACCCTGGTGTTGTGACCAGGCTCACAAATCCCTACCAATGCAACGTATTTTTTTTTTAATTTTTCTATTTCATTCTTAATTATTATTAGTGTATGTATGCTGTACATACATGTATATGACGTGTTTGAGTGTAGGCACACACATGCTACTGTGTGTGTGTAGAGGTCAGAAGACAACTTTCAGGAGTCTGATCTTTCATTCTACTTTGTATATGGGTCCCAGGGGTTAAACTCAGGTCTCCAGACCTAGGCAGGATGTAACCTGCTGGGCAGCTCACTAGCCTAGGATGGGACAGATCTGCCTCACTCCATCCTTTGTGTGGTTTGTAACTTGTATTACTCTGAAATTAACACAAGTTGAAACTGGTAATAGCAGAGAAAATGCAAAAGAGAAGTCACATTTTCTTCATACAATTTGACCTATAAATGCAAACCAGAAAAATTAGACCTGGAATAAATCACACACACACACACACACACACACACACACACACACACACACACACCCTGCAAAATTTATAATTTACATTTAGTTAAGGTTACCAAGGCAAAACTTGACCAAGGAGTGATATCTTCCCTTTTTTTAAATATATATAAAATTTACTTCTCAAAAGACTGGTTCTGTTTGCAATCATGTTAAGAAAATAACCTTGGGGGAAATTAAAGATATGATGTTTAGATTGAGAATACAAACTCTGGTCAAGGTATGAATAGGCTAAAATTGAGTCACCTTGAAAAAAAATCTTCCTAATAATGAATATGTATCAGCTGCTCAATCCTAGAGGGACAGTTTCACACTTATGGCAGGGATGGTATCCTTGTAGCCACATAGTGCTGGTCAAATCACCTGGTTAAACTGTCCCTATCCCACATGGCCCGGAGCCATCTCACACCTGTACTCGCTACCACCGACTCCTTGCACTGAGCTGCCGTAAGCCTTCCTGAGTAACTCCATCAGCTTGCAAGCTTTCTGCAACCGCAGCTGCTCTCAATGTTTACAGCATTTTTATGGTTACCTTAGATTATTACATCTACTAAATCATCAAATATTTACAAGTGTTGGGTTTAGCTTCTTTAGCATGGCCATCTGTAAGACCTGTTTCAATTCTCTGATGGCAGACAATGGGTTACAGACAGCTCTGAAGACAGGTCTTAAGCAGTGATTACTCCAGCTGACTGTCCTAGCTCAGTGAGGACACTGTTTTGCTCACAACTGTTTGTAATAACTTGGTTTTGCTCAACTAATCATATTCTCCTTGTCTGAGCTAGCAATTGCAGTATGAAAGGAAAATGGCCCTCAACATTTGTGCTCAAATCTAAAATCATTTTAATGTAATTGGCTGAAGTTGGACCGAATATAAGCACTTTAATAAGGCATACATTAATAAGGCATACATCGGAGATAATCGATATGCTTTCTGTTTTAAAGGAATGTAAATGAGGCTTTTATTAATAATGAATAGCAACTCAGGCATCAACTTAAGTAGCTGGGAAGGAAACAGCTTACCAGAGTGGATCAGCTATAGTAGCCTCGTCGAAGAAGAAGAGGTATAAGCCGAAAATCCCAACCAGCAAAGAGTGGCATGTAGATACTACCCTGAAACGAGACGAGGAACACACACACACAAAGATCTCAGTCTTTGTAATGAACAACTCGTTCCTCTATGGCATTCCCATCCTGAAAGATTCACACCTCGAAGCATTGAACATTAAATGCAGGAGTATCATACATCTGGGAGTGACTAACACTGTCATTTAGGGCCAGAGGCATGGCTGGGCAGCACAGCACTTGTCTGGCATGCAGGAGGCTCTAGGTTCAATCTCCAGCACCAAAAATAATCAGGGGCCAGGGTGGTGCTGTGTACCTTTATTCCAGCCATTGGAAAGCAGAGGCAGATGGATGGATCTCTGTGGAGTTAAGACCAGTCTGGTCTCCATAGCCAGTTCTACACCAGCCAGAGTTATGTGATGAGAACCTGTCTCAAGAAATCAAGTAATAGCCAGGCAGTGGTGGCACACACCTTTAATCCTAGCACTTGGGAGACAGAGGCAGATGGATTTCTGAGTTTGAGGCCAGCCTGGTCTACAGAGTATGTTCCAGGACAGCCAGGGCTACACACACAGAGAAACCCTGTCTTGGGGGAAAAAAAGAAAGGAAGGAAGGAAGGAAGGAAGGAAGGAAGGAAGGAAGGAAGGAAGGAAGGAAGGAAATCAAGTAATAATGATAATGACAATGGTAATAAAGTCATTAAGAAACCATAGGGCCACAACCTTACTTTCATATGAACAAGTTCTATAATCCTGAGTGAATCATTTCTCTGACACAGTTGGTAAGGCCACAAGCCTGCGTCCTTCAAGTTCCATCAGCATCAGTGTGGCTGCAGGATGAGTCTCCTGCTCTCAGGAGGACTGACTTTGGCATCTACTGTCTTTAAATGGTTCCTTCTTATGCCCCTCACTGCTAGTGCGGGAACCTGGGGCCCACTTAGGCCATACAAGTGCTTCACAACTCAGCTCCACTTCTGGCCCATCTCTGTATTCCTAAAGCAATCTGAATGGTTTACGACTTGAAGATTCATTGTCTAAGAGATCCAGTTCCCAGTGTTGGTCACAGGAGTCAGCGCACTTGAGATGACTCTTCAAGGAGCAATAACAGACAGATGCTCATGGATCCACTCACCATCAGTAGGAAAACACTTCCAAATAGAAAAGTTGAGAACCACTGATCTGCTGCTTTCATTTAGTTGTCTAGTGTTGGTTTTTTGAAATAGGGTATTGCTCAAGCTGGGCTTGAACTTGTGGAGTTCAAGGGAATCTGCTCAAGAATCTGGAGTATAGGTCTATAGCATTAGGAAACCTTCCACCTGTCCCTCTGAGACCTGTGTGTCACCTCCCAGTGCTTGAACTGCAGATGAGCCACCAGGCCTGACTGTGCGGTGCTACAGACACAACCCAGGGCCTTCTGCATACTAGAGAAACGCCCCAAGCTACAAACAGAGCTACACACCCAGCAACTCCTTTTACCAGATATTGAAGTGAAACACAATCCAGATTCTTTTCTTGCATGGAAGAAAATAAGTTTTGGATGAAAATCCATTCTTTAAGCCGATCTAGTCCATGATATGGCCTGAGACCTGACCATCTAAGACACGGCAATCACCCACGTACAACGAGGCTGGCTTTTTAAGCTAGCTTCAAAGTTTCCACATATTTATTTAGAATTTATATATAAAAAAGGGTCTTTTCATTAAAATGAAGGATACAGGGATAAAACTAGAAACTACTGATGTGAAATGTCTATCTGTGACCACGCCCCCAGTTTCTAACAGCAAAGGAACTTCATCAACCAATATTACGTTTTATATTAGAAACATTCGTTGGACCTTGAACTCAAATGAGTCTACCTGATCAACTAGATCTCTTAAGGAGATCAACCACGTGATCCCAAACTGTATTTTAAATTCACAAAGAGAATCATGAGTTTGGCCAGTGACAAAGGAACTGTTGTAAATCAGGGCAGCATTTGGAAGTGTAATAAATCCATCTGATCTGGTTTACAAGTCTGATGCTTTCAAGTCAAGCACACGTGCATTCCTTCGAGAACAGGAGGATAGAAGAAGAAATTCCTTGATATGAAGTCAAACACTGCATCTATTTATTGATTTGTTATCGTGTTCAAGACAGGGTTTCTCTGTGTCAGTCTGACTGTCCTGGAACAGTAGACCAGGCTGGCCTGGAACTCACAGATCTGCCTGCCTCTGCCTCCCAAGTGCTTGAATTAAAGGTATATGGCACCAAGACCTGGCATTCAAACACTTAATCTAAATCCCCACACAGAGGGTGGAAGTTATCCAAAATCCTACGGGAGGGAAACATGGTCTCTCCTAAAGTCCTGACTAGTGGTTAGTAACCATATGTTAAAGTCCTGACTAGTGATTAATAACCATACGTTTACAAAGTTTCTTTTTCAGCCTCCTCCCAGGGTGGATCAATCCTGCATCCTAGAGGACCTAAGTTCAGTCCCCAGGACAACAATGACGACAACAACAACAATAAGAGTCTATGCTCCTAGAAGCTGCTGTCAGTAAACATCTGAGATTTTTACTTTTTTAAATCATATTCCTGGAAAAGCAAAAATGCAAATCCTATAGTAGCTAAAAAGAAACACCAAGTGGAAAAAAGTTGAATTTTGTCGTTTTTTTTTTTTCCAAAAAAAATGTTGTCTGCTGTTTGGAGCATGTTTCAAGGCTGGAGGTTGAGTTTTAAGACACAAATTTGTACTTTTTAAAAAAAAAACAGCCCAACTTTCCTTTGTACTCTTTATCTTTAAGCTCCAAGTATCCGAGCTCCTGCAGCAAGCAGGAAAGAGAGAGACCCCATTACAACAGTTAAATGAATCTTATATGACACCAGATTTCCTCTTCAAAGCAGAACTCAGTTTCACACGTTATAATTTCCTGTGCCACAGAACAGAGACGAGACTAAGTCAAAAAAAAAAAAAAAGTCTCCAATTTCATCTGCATCTCTGCTTCCGCTCCCTGCGTCCTCCCCATGTGTTGGGTAGCTTGCAGCTACCCAGGATTCGAAAGCTTTTACAGCATCTAACCACATTGAAAAGGAAACAAAAAAGAGCTCAAAACTCACTCAGAAAAGCCTCTCTCCCACTCGTGTTTCCCACCACCCTATCTTCAAATGTTAGAAAGGGTTTTTAAAAATAATCATGTATAAGCTGGAAAGGTGGCTCCGCGGTTAGGAGCAGTGGGTAATTAAGTTCGATTCCCAGCATTCACAGGGAGGCTCACAGCTATCTGTTAACTCCAGTCCCGGGCGGTCCAACACCCACTCTGGTCCTCACCAGGTTCCGCCAGCCCAGCATACAGTCCAAGCATACAGACACAAGTGCAAGCCAAACATTCACACTACATAAAATAAATGTGTTTGTTGTGAATTTTTCAGAGAGGAAAACAGAACTTCAACTAAGCAGACTTAACTGAAATTAAAAACAAAAAAAAAGTCCCTAACATTCTGATTTTATGTGTATAGATGTTCTGCTTTCCTGTGCACCTGGTGCCCATGGAAACCAGATGAAGGCATCAGATCCCTTTACAGAGGTCGTAAACTGTGCTGTGGGCACTAGGAACTGAACCCAGATCTTCTGAAAGAGCAGCCACCACTCTTAACCACTGAGTCACCTCTGCAGCTTCGTCCAGCCCCTCCAGCCCCTCCCAAACATCTTCTGATATAAAAATCCTTAAAACTTTTTCTTCTATGATCTCATCTTTCTTCTATTCCTAAGATAAAAAAAGTTTTGACCTTGAATTTTTAAAGAGCCTAAATGACTTCTTTTTAAATCTCAGACTATTTTTAAGTCGATTTATTACATTTTCACGGATTTACCTTGAGTTCCACTCGATCTTCTTCTCAATGCTAAGATCGTTATAACCTGAAGAAACTCTTGCCGAAAACCAGTAACTTACAAAATGGAAAAGAACCTGAAAGACGACAAAGCTGCTGCAGACAGTGGCGACGGCCAGCTTAGTGTTGGCCTCCATAGTCCCTCAGCCTGTGGGACAGAGAGAGAGCATGGCTCTAAGTTGCTGTCACACAGCCAGCCTACAATCATTTCGAAATCTAGTATACATTTATTGCACCATTTTTAATACAAGTACAAGAATATAACAAATTTTTTAATGTAAGGAAAATAAACCAAAAATCCGTTAAGTCTTCTGTTTCTTCATTTACTAGTGTCATATCACACATTTGTCATTGAAAACAAAAATGCTTTAAATGTACTTTTTTTAAGTACCTAAAAGGTACTTTAGTACCTCACAGATCTTTGTATCATAAAAAACATTTTAACATAATAATTCAAACTTATCTTAGGAACTTAACACTAAGAGGAAATTTCAATTGCTATAATTTCAATGGCTACAATTAAAGTTACTCTTTTAACAGTATTTTAATTATATATAGACAAATCACCTGTTTCTCTTTGACTCAGTTTTCTCATCTATAAATTGAAAGAGTCGGATAATTTCTAAGAATCATTTAAGCCGAAGTCATAGACCATTGCCTGCAAAAACAGACAAAAATTAAATTACATAATTTCTAAGAATCATTTAAGCTGAAGTCATAGACCATTGCCTGCAAAAACAAACAAAAATTAAATTACAAAGCTAAAAACTGATTGTATAGTGAGACACAACATTGAAGACAAAGGTTAAATTTTAAGAAATAAGTAATTACAAAGAACCACCTGGGCTGAAAAATAGCTCAGCAATTAAAAGCCCTTGTGACCCTGCAGGGAACTAGAATTTGGCTCCCAGCACCCTGCACCCAGAGTAGGTGACTTTCAACCTTCTGTAATTTCAGATCCATGGCATCCAACACCCTCTTCTGGCCTTTATGGGTACTGCACTCATGTCTATACAATGATACATACATACAATTAACTAATTTGCAGGGCAGTGGTGGTACATGCCTTTAACCCAGCACTTGGGAGGCAGAGGCAGGTGGACATCTTTGAGGCCAGCGAGTTCCAGAACAGTCAGAGCTACACAAACAAACAAACAAACCATACCACTGTAACTAAAATAAAGGCACTCTGGAACAGTAGTGGAAAAAACAGTAGCATCCACATAAATGTATACACACACTCAAAGTATGTTTTCTATATTGTTGGGCTGAACTTTATTTGGCTCCTAGAAAAATCTTTAGGGCCAGGCATGGTGGCACATGCCTTTAATCCCAGCAGTCAGGAAGCAGATCTCAATGATTTGAAGCTAACTTGGTCTACAAAGTGAGTTCCAGGATAGCCAGAGCAACACAGTGAGACCCTGATTAAAAAAAAAGAAAAAAGAAAAAGAAAAGAAAGGGAAAAAAAATGAATCTTAAGTACATTCAGAGCAAAAAGAGCTAAGGCACTTGCTCATATCCAGCAGGCCAGCATCATTCTGTGACCAGCTGGTCAGGTGAGGGGGAAATGAATCAAGCTTATACATTTTCAAATTCCTAATTTGAAGAAATAGAGTCACCTACTGAAGCCAACTCACCAGACCAAAAAAACAAGTCGTTGCCTGAGCCACATCACTAAACCCACTTCATCTCCTGCCAACCAGGATATCATAATTTGAATTAGTCTCCCACAGGGCTCCTTTTGACCAGTAATGAATTCTCTTCTCCTCCCTCCTCTCCCCGCCCCCACACCCACCCCCGTATATGCTTGGTAAAATTATTGATATTGCTATTCTTCTCTGTACAACTCCATTAACTTTATTGCTTATTTGCTGTTTATATTTCTTTTAGTTCATTGTGTGTGTTGGACATTAAACAATTAATTTGTAGTCTTTTAATCTAGGTTTACTATTAACCAAATACTACATGAAAGTCAACTTTGTACATCAACTAAATGTATTATGACAGTACCGTGTGCCACAAATGCAGACCTGGAGGCCAGGGGAATAGCTAACTAGAGAAAATGGAATCAGTCACCAGAGGATACTGAGAGTTTCCACTCAACGAAGATGATTTGCCTGAAGGCTCTGGATGCTCACCACTGACCCTGGAGCATGGGCTGCTGGCACTTTTGTTAAAATTCAATGTATACATGGGCATTTCTTGACTGCTTCCTAAGTTGTCATAAAACTTACCACATATTACCAGGTTTGTGAATTATTAACTAACCAATGTCCTAAAGAAAGCACTCTAACAATTCACCATTAAGAAACCCGTCTCGGGGAGTAGTGGTAGTGAGTGCTTCTTATTCCAGGTGTCTGCACTCTAACCCCAGCACTAGGGAGACGGAGACAGGGAGACTGCTGTGAATACACACACACACACACACATGGCCAGCCTGGTGTACAGGAAAAAAAATGTCAAAAAAGAAAAAAAGAAAAGAAAAAAAAGTAAAGGAAGGAGGGAGGGAGGGAGGGAGGGAGGGAGGGAGGGAAGGAAGAAGGAAGGAAGGAAGGCAGGCAGGCATGTATGCATACATTATGGGCCGAAAACGTGACTCAGTGAGTAAAAGGTACTTGTCACCAAACCAGACAACCAGAGTTCCAACCCCGGGATCCTCGTGTGGATCAAGAACACCAACTCCTGCAAATCACCCCAACCTCCACGTGTATCCTTAACACATATGCAATGACACACATCCACACATACGTGCGCATCACACATACCACACATATACACATCTACACATACATGCACACATCATACATACATACACACGTACATTAAATAAGAGATTTTTAAAAATTAAAAAAAAAAACATTACTTCCCCACACCCTGAGTCCTAGTTTTTGTAAATTGTTATGGTGGACAAATGTTTTATATATTTTTATGTGTATTAGTATTTTGCCTGTGCATATGCATGTATGTAAGCCCAGTGCATGCCTGGTGTGGGCAGAGGCCAGAAGTGGGTATCAGATTCACTGGAACTAGAGTTACGGATGCTGTGAGTTAGCACATGGGTGCTTTGATTCAAACCCAGGTCCTCTGAAAGGATTCTAAGTGCTTTTAACTGCTGAGTCATCTCTCCAACCCCCAACACTTTATACTTTTTTTTTTTTTTTTTTTTTTTTTTGGTTTTTCGAGACAGGGTTTCTCTGTGTAGCCCGGGCTGTCCTGGAACTCACTCTGTAGACCAGGCTAGCCTCGAACTCTCGAACTCAGAAATCCACCTGCCTCTGCCTCCCAAGTGCTGGGATTAAAGGCGTGCGCCACCACCGCCCGGCCCCACTTTATACTTTCAACAGATTTATTTTGTTTTCTTGGGGTATATGATGAGAGTATTTCTCTGCCAAAGGGGTGGGGTGGGTTCCATTTATAACTAAACAAAGAGTACCATATATCCAAGCTGTGGCTTCTATTAAAGGCTCAGCAGACAGAAGCTAATTAAATTGTTCTATCTCAGATCTGCTTCTTAATAAGCAGCTGCTTGCTTAATCAGTCATGTCAAATCAAGGCCTCATCTAGAGATTACTTAAATGTCCCCCAGAAAGCCAAGGCCTCTTGGTAGCAGCAGCTGCCCCTGTCCGCTCACTTTCAGGTACCAGAGGATGGAACAGTAACAACAGACAGAGAAAATGACACCTAATATTAGCCTAGATAGAGGGCCTTTGCCGACTTGGCAATCACTAAGCATTGGAAATCACAGGGAGAGTGGAGAAGCATTAAGCCTCATTCATGTACCACTACATGTGGCCAGAAGCTGGCAGGAGGCGAGGAAGCTGTCCTAGTGGGAGCTGTCCTAGAAAAGAGCAGCTGGAACAGACAGGGAAAGTGTACAAGACTGTTGAGAAATGAATTCTACCATATAATTAATTAGCTGTCTTGATCCACAGGAATTGTAGACACTAAAGGAACTTCCATTGTCTGCCGAGTACAATGCTGCCTGCTTGCCCTTTTCCCACGAGATGGTCTTAGGTCACGGATGAGCTTAGACCTCTCTCTCCCCTCACTATGAGAGCCCGTCTCCTGCAGGAGGACACTCATTCTCATTTCTGGACACAGGGTCCTGGAAACAGCAAACACACATCTTCAGAACCAACAATACAGCCGACATTTGTCACCTGTCAGCTGTGTAGCGGCTTTGTGTTTGTGTTTGGAGCGCTAATTGGGAGGAGACACCTTGTGAGCCAGTAGGAAGGCAAGGAAAAGTCCTAAAATTTAGGGTGCACCATGAAGCTCCTTTCTCAGTAGGCAAGAATAGCCAGCAGACATACGTGGGGAGGAGTATCCAGTGGTATTCAATGGCTTGAGTAAAAGAGGGTAATAAGGGAAGAAGAAGACATTCTCTTTGTGTGCAGAGGCCAGAAGACAACCTCAGGTGTCATTCCTCTGGAGCTGTCTTCTCTGTTTTCTTTTTGAGACATAATGTGTCATACTGGCCTGGACCTAGCTCAAATAAGCTAGCCAGTGAGCCTCGGTGATCTATCTGCCTCTCTTGCCCTCCTAAAACTGACATTTTTCTTTAAACTTAGGTTCTGAGAATCAAACTTAGGTCCTTATGTTTGTCTGATAAGCATTTTACCAGGTGAGAGCCATCTTAACAGCCCAATACCTTCCCTTTTATTGAAATACCAACTAGACACTGAGGCAGACGCTCAAACAACTCAGTTCCCCTATGAATGTTTAGAACCAACTCCTCACCCAAACAACAACCCAGACCCTCATTTCCCTCCGCTCAGTACTCACTGAGGGGATATATTTGAATCACCAGACATGCAAGTAAGAAACACTGCCACGATGTGTAGTGCTAAGAACCCTCCGAGGGGCACGAAGTCGGGCTGTGTGTTTGTCTTTAAGAGCGACAGGGCAGAAGGAAGCCGAGAACAATGACCCACTCATGCTTAGCATTCCTTCTCCATCCCTAGCAAGCTCCCTCCTGCGTTTTCCGCATTTATTCCGATACACAAGCCAGCCAATCTCCAGTTGTCCCTCTCTTCTGATGGAAACACTTCTCATTTCACCCAGAATATGCAGGCTACCAGACAAAGTCTCTTAGCTTGACAATGTTTGCTGCCTCGCTGTACTGGGAACTTCCTCTCTGCACACTAGAGAACCTGGCTATGCATTCCTCACACCTAACACTGCTCTGGGTATGTGCAGCTCTGGTACCCACCCGCAGTGCACCAGGGCTGGATGGCTCCCAGTACTCCTCCCTTGATGCACTGATGCTGGATCGATCACACAGGTCCCACGGCTCTGTGTCCCTAGAGGAGCTGAAGAGCCCTTCCTGCAAGGCTCCATAGCTCAGTGAACGGCGTCCCTCTTCCCATCTCCCAACCTACATCAGCTCAGCCTTCCTGTGTCACTCCCACAAGTGACAAGGTGGCAGCTCTAACAAGATTGGAGGGTGTCAAATAAAAGTCCGGCAAAGTTTCAAACATTTCTCATGATAGATGTATGAGTAATGAAAAAAAAGTGACTGGCTAGCAAAACGTGGTGGATGAATCCTGAGCTAGCTAGCTCGTGTAGAAGCTAGATGTTGATCTAGGAACAGAAGTGGACTTGAGAGACCGTACGCTGGATCATACAAAGATCCGGATTTCTCTCCTGGCTGGCATG